CAAGTTATGATTTGAGACATTGCACGGCATGCTAGGTTTCGGAAAACCTATGTTTATCATTATATATGCGTTTTCATAAAACCTGGGGGTTAGTACGTTGATAACTGTTTTATTATATATATATATATATATATATATATATATATATATCAACTTGGTCCACTCATGTTTGTTTTGCACCCCCTTCAGGACTTAGAATCGAAGCATACAATCCGGCGTCAAGGCACTTCCGTATTGGCATCTTCGAGTCCTCTCGGTGTAGGATCCATCCTTTGTTTCATTCAATTTTGTATTATTTCTTTTAGTGTTCTAGTTAGTTGTATGCTTTGAACACGTTCCTTAAATGCATGTTCATTATTCTTTTATATTTATAAGCCTTATCTACCCCTTGTTTTCAGCATTTGCACTCAATAAATGGCTTTCGTCACCCTCGGGTGTCAGCTAGCACATGCCTATCCTGGTATTCGGGGAATATTGAGATCGGGGCGTGTCACTCTAAAAGTTCAAATTGCCCTTACTCACTCTCTTAGAAGGAAGGCCAAAGCAGATTTCTTTGAATAATAAGCTAGATGTAGTTCAGGATCTTCAATTGGAAAACTAAATTGCTATTAAATCTTTATTAACGAGATTCAGACCAAAGATCTCTCACATAGATATCACAAGACTGCAATAGGTTTTAAAGTTTCGTGTACTAATTATACACTCCAAAAATCGCCTTAAATTCAAATGAGTGGTGGAGGATAGAGCCCAAAAAAAAAAAAAAAAAAAAAAAAAAGAAGAATGGTGGACCATGAGTGCCAAAATGATCATCCCATTAAAAACTAATAATCAAGCTAAGTTTCTTGTACTAATTATACACTCCAAAAATCGCCTTAAATGAGCTCATCATGAACACTTCAAATAAGTGAAGGATAGTGCCAAAAAAACAGAAAAGGAGTGGTAGACCATGAGTGCCAAAATGATCATCCCATTAAAAACCAACAATCAAGCTCTGAGAGAGAGAGAGAGAGATGAGTACTGTAGAAGGGAAGACTGTGTGCGTAACAGGAGCCTCAGGTTACATAGCATCATGGTTGGTGAAGCTCTTATTGCAAAAGGGTTATACTGTCAAAGGCACCGTTCGAGACCCAAGTCAGTATTTCTTAACTTGCTCATATCATCTAATATAATTCGAAATGTGGTTCTTCGAATCCAAAACTTTATGCAAAAAGACAGGACTTGCAGCTTTCGTCTGGATGCCAAGTTTTCTCTTCTACCAATTTATAGTTTTGGGTTAGTAAAAATAAATTTGGTATACTAACTTATCATTTCTGCTTCTCATTGCTTAAGAAACTAATTGTAATTAGAAAGAAAATGAGGCAATTGGCATGTAATTCAATAGATTAAGAGCATTCGTCCTTACACCCAGAATCTGTGTTCAAATCCCCCTCCCCATAGTTTAATGTAAATTATCCTCTCTTTTGTCAAAAATAAAAAAAATAAAAAAAAACTAGAAAGAAAACGAGCCTTTTCCCCTCCCCCCTCTAATTAGTTTGAATTGCGGCATGAACTGAATGGAAGTTACGATATATTTCAGTAGTAGGATCTTTTTTGTTCATATATGGCCCTACTCTTAAACTAATTGATTTTTAATTTGGAAATTTTGTTAAAATAATACTACTGGTGTTGGAGAGTTGACCTTTTGTAATTAGTTTAGTTACATTTTTGAGTCCTTATAATCAGATTGTAATTAGGTTATTTGATGCTTATTTTTTTTTCCTTGTAAATCACTCTTGTACATTATATATTTTCCTCCTTGGTGAGAAGAATGATATCAGAAAATTAAGCCTCAAAGATAAGCTCTAATTAGCAACCGGTACCAAAAGACGAACATGTTAATCTATTTTTGGGCAACTTAATTGCCCACTTAAATCTCCCTAGTTCAGTCCATGTTTGTCATATGTGTGTTTATTTTGTGTTTAAATTTAATCAGTTCACTAATCACTATTTCTGTTTGTATATGCACGCAGATGATTCAAAGAAAACTGAACACTTGCGCTCATTAGACGGAGCCAAAGAAAGGCTTCATTTGTTCAAAGCAGATGTATTAGAAGAAGGGTCTTTCGACGCCATAGTTGATGGATGCCAAGGTGTTTTTCATACAGCGTCCCCTGTACTGTTTTCTGTTACTGACCCTCAGGTTCGTCGCCCTTTTACATCATGATTGCATAGTCCAGAAAAAGAAATCTGAAAAGTCTAAAGCAAAATTGGCTTACTTTCCAGAATTTTAATGTTAAATCTGGAACTATTTTAGGGAGAACTACTTGACCCTGCAGTGAAGGGAACACTTAATGTTCTACAATCATGTGCGAAATTTCGTAGCATCACGAGAGTGGTTTTAACATCTTCACTTGCTTCAGTAATGATGACTGGAGCCCCTCTGACCTCTGATGTGGTTTTGGATGAAACATGGTACTCGGATCCACTTTTTTGTGAGAAGCACAAGGCATGTATAAATGTTCCCGTGTTATCTTTCTTTGAGTTTCGCATTTTACTCCTCGTTAATTTGTTATATTTCAATGTCAGTAGGAAAAATAATCTGATCTTGTTAGGTTAGCATGAACTGCAAGCTCATATGAACTTCTTTGTTCCTTTGTTCAGCAATGGTATTTGCTCTCAAAAACTTTAGCAGAGGAGACTGCCTGGAAATTTGCTAAAGGAAATGGGATTGACTTGGTGTCGTTGAATCCAGGGTTAACCATTGGTCCACTCTTACATTTGCTAAACGATATAGAAACCAGCCTGATATTTTTCTTCTTCCTTATTTCAGGTTGAATTAGTCGAGCCTGCAGGCTGCAGTTAAAGGAGCACTTAACGTTCTAGAATCATGCGTGAAATTCCCCGCTGTTAAGAGAGTGGTTATAACATCTTCTATGGCTGCAGTAATGATGACTGGAAAACCTCTGACCTCTAATGTGGTTCTGGACGAAACATACTATTCGGATTCACTTTGTTGTGAGAAGATCAATGTATGTCTGTGTACGTTGCCGTTCTGTTTATAATATTGAATATGGAGGTAAACATAACACAAGACAATGCAGTACATGATGATGACTGTAAACTCATACGAACTCCCTTCTTCATTTGTTCAGCAATGGTATCGTCTCTCAAAAACTTTAGCTGAGCAGGCAGCCTGGAAATTTGCCGAGGGAAATGGGATTGACTTGGTTACAATACATCCAGGGTTTGCAATTGGTCCACTATTACGGCCAACTCTTAATCTCACCATCAAGTTTCTTCAGAATCTCATTGGTGGTACAATTCATTCCCTTTGTGTTTAACAATATTCTTTGTGATGCCAGCTATAAATTGTGTTTTGTTTCTCGTTCGTGGTCACGTATCGAAACACCGTTTATAAACTACCCATTCGTAGACGTTAGAGATATTGCCTCTGCTCATATTCAAACATTTGAAGTTCCTTCAGCTAAAGGTAGATATTGTTTAGTTGCCCAAGTTGCCGACGGACCCGATACTCTCAAGATTTTGCAACAACTTTACCCCACATTGAGCCTTCCGGACTTCGGCAATCCTCCCGACTCGAAGTTTCAAGTGTCCATAGAGAAAGCAAGAGGTTTGGGAATCACTTTCCTCTGGCGAGTCTCAAAGACACCGTTGAAATCCTCAAGGAGAAGGGCTTCCTCAACATTTGAATTCTACTACTTGCAGCAATTTGTTACACGAGTGCTCGATCAACTAATTGGGAAGTGAAGTTGGTTTTATGCTGAAGTATCCCAATAGATGCTGGGCATTATATTTTTCCCGTAAAATACTTTAAATGTATTCCGTAGGCAAATGCTCAGAAGTTGCTTTTAGATCTTTAATTAATTTATGGCTCATGTGTTATTTGTAATATTTCAATTTAACTCTAAATGACAAATTTCAAGTTGAAATTGTTATCCTCCACTGTCTTTAAGAAATCTTAATTAAGGCACTGTTGATATCTTTGCAAGCTGAGATTTCTTTTCCCTTTTGTCTCTTGCCTATTCGTTATTTGTTCCACAGACAATCTTGCATATATTTGGTTGACGCTTTCCGACAACATCCGTTGGCTATCCAACATCGGTGGGCTAAAAGAAAAACAAGGACTTCAAATAGGCTTATCCCACATTAACTAACATTGAGATTTTTTTTGTGATAAAACCTCCGATTACCAAGTTGGTGATTACTAATGGTCTTGTTAGAGTGGGTCTTTCGGGGTTGTATCGTCATTCTTCAATATGTGATATTACTTTAGCAAATATATTTTTTAATTTATTTATTTATGTTTTCTTGGCCTTGTTCTCACATGTCATTATTTCTCAAATAAAATCTAATTCACATAAATATTTGGAAGGTAGAGAATAAATGTAAGAGATTGTCGTAAAAATAAATATTGAGTTGTGGTGTAAAAAATGAAGAATATTGAGTTATATAAAACCACTTTTAGTAATTTTTTGAATTTTTTATTATTAGAATAATCTTGGCCATTGATTTCAACATTATAACCAATGGAATGCCAAGATTGTGCCACGTCAGGGTTTTTGAACTTTATGGCGGCTGGATGGGCATATGCCTTTCCCCCAATAGGCCTCTCATTTTTCCAACGGTGGAGCAAAGTTTCCTTGAGCAAGAAGGCAGTTTTACCCAATTACAAACGCAACTGGAAACTGTTGGAGATGCTCTAAATGTTCAAATTGCCCTTACTCTCTACAAGGAAGGCCAAAGCTGATTTCTTCGAATAATAAGCTAGATGTAGTTCGGGATCTTCAATTGGAAAACTAAATTGGTATTGAATCATTATTAACCAGATTCAGACCAAAGATCTTTCATATAAATATCACAAGACTGCAGTAGGTTTTAAAGTTTAGTGTGCTAATTATACACTCCAAAAATCGCCTTCAGTTACCTCATCATGAACACCTCAAATGAGTGGTGGAGGATAGTGCTAAAAAAATGAGTGGTGGACCATGAGTGCCAAAATGATCATCCCATTAAAATCTGACAATCAAGCTGAGAGAGGGAGAGAGAGAGAGAGAGAGAGAGAGATGAGTGCTGTAGAAGGGAAGACTGTGTGCGTAACAGGAGCCTCAGGTTACATAGCGTCATGGTTGGTGAAGCTCTTATTGCAAAAGGGTTATACCGTCAAAGGCACTGTTCGTGACCCAAGTCAGTATTTCTGTACTTGCTCATATATTGTGGTTCTTGAAATCCAAAACTTTTATGCAAAAAGACAGGATTTGCAGCAGTGCTTTCGTTTGGATGTCAAGTTTTGTATGTTAACAATTTATAGTTTTGGGTTAGTAAAAATAAATTGGTATACTAACTGAGCATTTCTGCTTCTCATTGCTTAAGAAACTAATTGTAATTAGAAAGAAAATGAGGCAATTGGCATGTAATTCAATAGATTAAGAGCATTCGCCCTTGCATCCAGAGCCCGTGTTCAAATCCTCCTTCTCATAGTTTAATGTAAATTTTCCTCTCTTTTGTCAAAAAAAAAAAAAGAAAAAAAGAAAAAAAGAAAAAAGAAAAAAACTAGAAAGAAAACGAGCATTTCCCCCTCCCCCCTCTAATTAGTTTGAATTGCGGCATGAACTGAATGGAAGTTATGGTATATTTCAGAAGTAGTATCTTTTTTGTTCATATATAGCCCTACTCTTAAACTAATTGGTTTTTAATTTGGAAATTTTGTTAAAATAATACTACCGGTACCAAAAGACGAACATGTTAATCTATTTTTGGGCAACTTAATTGCCCACTTAAATCTCCCTAGTGCAGTCGATGTTTGTCATATGTGTGCTTATTTTGTGTGTAAATTTATTCAGCTCACTAATCACTATTTCTGTTTCTATATGCATGCAGATGATTCAAAGAAAACAGAACACTTGCGCTCATTAGACGGAGCCAAAGAAAGGTTTCATTTGTTCAAAGCAGATTTATTAGAAGAAGGGTCTTTCGACGCCGTAGTTGATGGATGCCAAGGTGTTTTTCATACAGCGTCCCCTGTACTGCTTTCAGTTACTGACCCTCAGGTTTGTCGCCCTTTATGATCGAATAGTCCGGAAAAAAGAAATCTGAAAAGTCTAAAGCATTGTTTGGCTTTCCAGAATTTTGATGTTAAAACTGGAACTATTTTAGGGAGAACTACTTGACCCTGCAGTGAAGGGAACACTTAATGTTCTACAATCATGCGCGAAATTTCCCAGTATCAAGAGAGTGGTTTTAACATCTTCAATTGCTTCAGTAATGATGACTGGAGTCCCTCTGACCTCTGATGCAGTTTTGGATGAAACATGGTACTCGGATCCACTTTTTTGTGAGAAGCACAAGGCATGTATAAATGTTCCCGTATTATCTTTCTTTTAGTTTCGCATTTTACTCCTCGTTAATTTGTTATATTTCAATGTCAGTAGGAAAAATAATCTGATCTTGTTAGGTTAGCATGAACTGCAAGCTCATATGAACTTCTTTGTTCCTTTGTTCAGCAATGGTATTTGCTCTCAAAAACTTTAGCAGAGGAGACTGCCTGGAAATTTGCTAAAGGAAATGGGATTGACTTGGTGTCGTTGAATCCAGGGTTAACCATTGGTCCACTCTTACAACCAACACTTAATTTCTCCGTCGAGCTGCTTCAGAACTTCATGAGTGGTATTTTCAGTATAACTCAATTACTTCTTGGGTTAATAGCTAGTAAAACATCATCAACCAGTCCCTTCGTGTTTAAACAGTTGTCCTTGACTTGTGATGCACGCAATTGATTGTGTTTTGTTTCTCCTTCTTGCTCAGGTACCCAAACAACTATCAGTAATCCATTCGTTGACGTTAGAGATGTTGCCTCTGCTCATATTCAAGCTTTCGAAATTCCTTCAGCTAGTGGGAGATATTGTTTAGTTGGCCAAGTTGCTGACGACCTTGATATTCTAAAGATTTTACGGCAACTTTACCCGACTTTGACCCTTGCTCAAGTTGTCAATCCTTCAGACTCTAAGTATCAAGTGTCCAGGGAGAAAGCAAAAGGTTTGGGGATCACTTTCCTTCCTCTGGAAACAAGTCTTAGGGACACTATTGAAAGCCTCAAGGAGAAGGGGTTCCTCAAGATTTGAATGCCTCAATCTGGCCGCTGCATGTTAATCTGGTGTAATTTGTAAGGTTTCAAAATCACACTAAATAAATGTTGAAAAATATTAGTATTTGGATTTGTTTATTGTTTGAATATTTTTATGTAACTGCTTATTAATCTAGTCCCTGAGCTGAGCATCAGATCGAGCAGTTCGGGATCTTTCTGCTTCTAACTACTTCCTGATCTTTTCTCTTCTTTCTACCTCACTCAAGGTTTTCTCATTCTTCTCGTCCTTCCCTTTTATTTTGTTTTCAGTCAGCTACTAGACCACCTATTCAATGGTTTCTTGGACAATCTCTTTGGTAATCTCGTTCTTTAGTGTGTTCTAGAATTACGGATTTCTTCCGAAAATTGTTCGCGTTAGAAGTGAGCGGCAAATACTGTACGGAACCAACCAGTTTTTCGTTATCGTGGTTTGCGCTCTGTTTGACTTCTGTCAAAAACGATTATGACCGAGGAACTAATGTGTCTCGGTCGTAAGTTCTCCGGGCCTTGTGACATGCTGGGTGAATTTGAATGTTCTTGTGATGGGCGAGAAATTGGTAGGGTCGAGATACTTGCGCGTGATGGTTATGATGAATGTGTAATGGATTTGGTTATCAGTGGTGTGATACATGATGTGAGTGTGTATGATGAATCGCATCAATTCTAACGAACTGGTCTTGGGGATTGATTTGATAAGAAACTCAAATATAAACTAAAATAATCTAAATAAAAAATAAATCTAAATTACAATATTAAAATACTGAAATAAACTTTAAATAACTGAATTGAAGGGTTGGGTGTTGAGGTCCAAAAATGTCATGAGCAAGCCCAACCAAGTCTCGAAGCCCAATTATCACAAGAGCCCTAAGTCAAGCCCAAATACATGCAAGGGTGCGGGATTAAAGAAAGAAAAAATTCACAAACACGTCACGCTACGGTAATTAAGCCAAATATTATATAAATCATGTCATGTTCATGCCTATTTGTCATGCTAAAATAAGCTTAAGTCACATGCTCGGGGTTTATCAAGTGAATTGTGGTGTGGATGGTTACCAGAGTTTATTGGGTCAATGTGGAGTGAAGATTATGGAGGACTTTGGGCTGCTTGGGGGCCAAAGATCCAAGCCCATAACACTTGTTGCCCATAGAGGCAAGCATTGAGAGAGAACATACTTAGTTACTCCTTTCCCTAGCAAGCTAACCAATCCAATTAGAAAGAAACCAAGTCCTAACTCCAAGCTCACTTGAAACCCCAAGCAACGTAAGCATTTAATGAGGAGAGAGGTTGACTTTCCCTTCCCAGCTCACGCAGAAGTTCAACGTGCGAAAGCCATGAGGCACGTAGCGCATGTGGAAAGCTGATCGGAGAAAGAAGCACTTTGGGAAGGAGGCATGATGCAGGTTTTCATAGGTTGGCAACACTTAGCTATCTTGCACCAAAATAAAGGGTAGCCGAAGGACCAGGGAGAAAGTGGAAAAAAAAACAAGCCATAACTAGAGATTCCTTGCGAAGGAATCATTCAATTAGGAATATAGGTCAAGAATTGTAGGTAGGGGATCCAATCCCCCAGCATAACACATATTAGCCAAAGAAACTCAAGAGGCAGCACTCCATAACCTTAGTATTTTCCATAACTTTCCTCTGAGCATCCTAGCCATCAGAAGCCTAACCCAGATTATCCAATAGAAAACACCGTACAATCACCCAACCTCTCTCTCTTTCATGCTAAAATGATGATCTTCTAGCTTCCACACCACGATTCTCTTGATCAAGCCTTTATTAGCCTAATCGTGCTATCTTCGAGTCATTGATCTAACCATAATATTTCCTAAGACGAGCTAACTCTTTAGAGATATTCCGGAACTTGTGATGCAAGCAATTGATTGTTTTTTGTTTCTCCTTCATCCTCAAGTATCCAAACACCTATAACTCACACATTCGTTGACGTTAGAGATGTTGCCTCTGCTCATATTCAAGCTTTCGAAATTGCTTCAGCTAGTGAGAGATTATTTAGTTGGCCAAGTTGCTGACCATCTTGATACTCTAAAGATTTTACAGCAACTTTACCCGACTTTGACCCTTAATGAAGTTGTCAATCCCTTCGACTCAAAGTATCAAGTGTCCAAGGAGAAAGCAAAAGGTTTGGGAATCACTTTCCTTCCTCTGGAAACAATCTGAGGGATACTATTGAAAGCCTCAAGGAGAAGGGCTTCCTCAAGATTTAAACGCCTCAGTCTTCCTGCCGCATGTCAATCATGTGTAAAAATCACACTAAATAAAAAGTTCAATCTTTATAGAAGGATTGAACACATATGCAGCCTCTAGTGATGCCTTCCAAGTATGCAGCCTCTAGTGATGCTTTCAAGTATGAAAAATAAAATGTAACATAATCTTTGGTCTTGGCGACGCTTTAAGCTCAATAATTTCATTATGAATAGTATGTTAATCTAATGAATTGGTGTCTTGAAGAGACGTCTCAACTATGACTCTTCCACTCCAGTTGTCACTTCTCTTTTTGTTAATAGGTCTCCAAATATTTTTCTCATGTTTAATCTTTTTTGCTCATGACAAAGGCACTTTGACAAGAACTCAAACCTCATTTGCTCGAACTATTGGTGAACATCGCCAACTTAATATTTGTAGACATTTCTCCCTCTTGCTCTTTGGACTGCACCTCAAGTGTTAGATGAAAGACCAATTCAAAATTTTCTTCTTTTTTCTCCCTTTGAAATTTACATGGACTTGTTTTCCAATATATAAATAAGGACATAAAATTTAGTCAAACATTCATAGCACACAATGAATTGCCATAAAATAATTATTCAGAGCTGAAGAAAACTGAAGTTGCCTTATTTGACCTTAATGTCCAGAAGACTTTTCACACAAAAAACAAAAACTGAACCAAACGAAAGCTTATTAACTCGATTTTGAGAGAGAGAGAGAGAGAGAGATGAGTACTGGAGAAACAAAGACTGTGTGTGTGACAGGAGCATCTGGTTACATAGCATCATGGCTCGTGAAGCTCTTACTACAGAAGGGTTATACTGTTAAAGGCACTGTTCGTGACCCAAGTTAGTATTTCCAAACTTTGCTCATAACTTATAATATAAAACTGCTATCCTATCTACATTAGCACTCGAAGATAGTCATCATGCACACCTCGCTCTTATTCTAAGCATTAGGAGAAGTGCAGGGTGCCTATTTGGAGTGCAAATAACAGCTCCTGTGTATCCACATCTTTTTTGGGGTGCTATTCTAACTAACAGCTCCTAACCAAATTACCAATTTGAACCTCCTCAATAATTCTATTTTTGCAAAACAAAGATGATCCAAAGAAAACAGAACACTTACTCTCGCTAGATGGAGCAAAAGAAAGGCTTCATTTGTTGAAAGCGGATTTGTTAGAAGAAGGGGCTTTCGATGATGTAGTCAATGGATGTGTAGGTGTTTTTCATACAGCATCGCCTGCACAATTCTCAGCCACTGACCCACAGGTTTATCCCTTCATACTTCAAATATTCTGTTGTGTCACGTACACGCCTAGAAAACGAACATAGTTTCAAGACAAATGATGTAGAAACCGAATTGATATTTCTCTCCGTATTGCAGGCAGAAATAGTGGAGCCTGCAGTGAAAGGAACACTCAATGTTCTTAAATCGTGCGCGAAATTCCCCGCTGTCAAGAGAGTGGTTTTAACATCATCTATGGCTTCAGTAACGGGGACTGGAACCCCTCTGACATCTGATGTGGTTTTGGATGAAACTTGGTACTCAGATTCACTTCTTTGTGAGAAGAACAAGGTATGTATGTTCCCATACTACTGAAAAATATTGGGTATAAGAGGTAAGCTTGACAGTAACACAAGGTAAAAGTAGTATATGATGATGAACTACAAACTCATATGAACATTCTTCATTTGTTCAGGAATGGTATCCTCTCTCAAAAACTTTAGCTGAGGAGGCTGCCTGGAAATTTGCTGAAGGAAATGGGATTGACTTGGTGTCGATGAATCCAGGGATTGCGATTGGTCCACTCTTACAGCCAACTCTTAATCTTTCTGTCGAGATATTTCGTAATCTCATAAGTGGTACGTTTCACCCCTTGTGTTTAAATACTATTTCTTGGGATGCAAGCAGTTGATTTTGTTTCTGTTTCGTGGTCAGGGATCCAAACATCATATAAAAATTACAGATTCGTTGATGTTAGAGACGTTGCCTCTGCTCATATTCGAGCATTTGAAGTTCCTTCAGCTAGTGGCAGATATTGTTTAGTTGGCCATGTTGCTGACAGTCCGGACACTCTCAAGATTTTACAACAATTTTACCCCACTTTGTGCCTTCCTGAGTTTGGCAATCCTTCAGACTCAAAGTATCAAGTGTCCAAGGCGAAAGCAAAGGGTTTGGGAATCACTTTCCTTCCTCTGGAAACAAGTCTTAGGGACTCGGTTGAAAGCCTCAAGGAGAAGGGTTTCCTCAAGATTTGAATTGTGCAACTTATAAACACTTGTGAATTTGATGCACGAGTCGGTTTAATTTTGGCAAATAAAGTTTGTCTTCTGCTGAAGTACTCCAAGAGATGTTGAAGATTATGTTGTTCCTGTTAAGAATGTTGAAAGTAATACGCAAAAGTTCGGCTTTTGGGCTTGAAATTTTTTTATATAGATTTATCAGGAGTCAAAAATAATACTCACTTAAAACAATGAGTACATTCTAATCCAACAAATAGTAAAGCAGAATAGAACCAGCATAATGACTTGGCACGTTAACCTTTAGGTCACTACAGATTTTAGGGGCTCATAAACAATTAGCCTAATCTTTTTCTTTCATTTTGGCCTATAAATATTAAAATGCAACCAAATCTTCAACATTGAAAATGAGAAGATGACTCTGATCAACACTCATAACATATCAATGGTCCAACAATTATGGAGCTCGAAATTTCTATAAGGGCCAATCAAATCATAAATTAAAATGAAAACATGTAAGTAATTAAGCATTATTACTTGCTTACTCGGCTCCTTCTTGTCACTTCAAGGATTATTCAATTCAACCCGATTCGATCAAACTGCATCACCCAACAAAACAAACAAAAAATAAATTAAAAAAGAAAATCAGGGGAGCTAAATAAATATACACTGACCTACTTTTCGGCTAGAAAACCCCAAAAGAGCAATTAAACAGCAGTGCATAATGACGGAATTTCTATGCAAAAATATGAATGAGTTTTCAATTAATAATTGAGGCCGAAATAAAGAAGGCCTTTCTCACCTTGATGCAGGGTGGACAACAAAAACATTATGTATGGATTAATGTAGAATATCTCAGATCCTATCTGTTTTTTATTCACTGATGCTTCAACATCAGTCACCTAATTCATATCACACATCCATACATACCTGATAACGCTTATTCCCACCACCATAACGCTTAAATTTTTGTAAATTTGCAAATACCCTACCATCCTAAATTCCTAATCGCACTTGACTTCACTGCCCCACACCTTTGTCGCCTGTCTCCCATTAACTAAAAACACTCCCAAATCACATCAGCCAGCCATGAAACAAAGCCACTGGCCACATCAAATATTAGGCATGATTCAGGTAACCAAACTCAAAGAATAGAGTTCGGATAACAAAATGCAAAGAACACGATACATATTGTAAAATTCAAGAACATGATTCAGAGGATTTGAACTATATTGTGTTGAAAACTTACTGAAGAGCGACGATTCCAGGGCGGTAGCAGTCAGGCTTCTTGACTCCTCCAGTTGTGGGTGCTGATTTTATTGAAGCCTCAAAATTAAAACAATTAGCAATTAGATCCAATAATCTGATTGTTTTTCGGAAAAAATAGCTTGCAATTATTGACCCAACACAGATTTTGCAGTACTAATTAAGAGAGAATTATAGTTTTATTTACTTGTGACTAAAGCTTTCTTGTTTTGTGGTAATTTGTATAGCAGACAACCAAACAATATATATAATTATTCAAACAGATTAAGACTCCCAATCAAATCAAATCCTTTCTGGTGCAGCTGCTGAACAATCGAGAGCCAAAGGGACGCCTGCTTTTGAGTGACAGAAAACTCTGCAGTGACTCGAACAGAGAAATTGAACTAATAATAACAAAGAGTTGGGATCACGATACTCACCAAGACCAGATCAAAGAGAACATTCGGATCAGCTTTGATCTCGTTGATGAAGTCCGACAAACTTTTTGATAGTCTAATCGCCGCTCTTGCCGACGTCGGTGCTATCACCGTCTCGACGCTTGACATGCTTCCGGCCATGACGATGTGGCTGGTCACATTGGGGAGAGGGATCGCATTATTGGCGCAGTCGTCTTCCACCATCTGCTTGATGGTCTGCGACTCCATAGCAATCGCCTCATCGACCTCGAACACCTCGCGGCTGGCAAGACTGAGAATTCTGTCTCTCTCTCAATCAGGTGATCACGTAAATTTTCTTTTGCCCGCGCCACTCCCAAAACAAACCCACCACCTCTCCCTCGGTAAACAAATCACTGCCACTCTATTTAATTTCACCCTACCACAGTAATCACCAGTTCCTCTATCTGCACGCTAACCCTAAATCCCGACTCCTCTCAGTCCTAGTCTCCCTCCATATAATATCCAGCAAGGTCGCATAGTTTATTATGCAGGAAAAAGACACTATCTTCCATGCCCTTCTCTACCTCACTCCATATTATCATTATCATTCCTCAAAAGTCTTTTATTTTCTCTTCCCTAGGCAGCAAGCAGTCTCTCCTCCTTACTCTGCCTGCCACCCCCATGCCCTGAGAGCAACTCTACCCCTAAGACTTTGCGCCAGCACCCAGCCCATTTATCCACTTCAATGAACAGTAATAGACTTCAATGAACAATAATAGGCCAAAGCATCTCCACTCCTAAAAAAACATAGACTGGTCAATTTTATTATTTTTTATTACAATGGTCCTCTTATCCGACTTGTCATCGTCAGCCTCCGTACCTTCTCCGTCGTCCTCCACTTTCACTTTCCCTTTCTCCTTCTTGTTCTCCGCCTCGACCTCCACTTTCTCCTTCTCTTTCTTCTTCTTGTTCTTGTTCTCCACTTAGGTTGGTGCTAAAGCTGGGCCAACCAGTCTCAGTCTCGACCTCCGCCTTGCTCTCGCCGGAGTTGTCCTCCTCTTCCTTCACAGCTTCCCCTTCCGCTTCTTCCGCCTCCGCCTCTTCCTTCTTCGCCTGCTCTTTCTTCTTCTGAGCTCCCTTGACCTTCTTCCTCGCTGGCGCCATGAGTCACCAGCTTGATTTCGCCGGCGCCACCAACTGCTTTTCTTCTTGCTCAGTCGTCTTGCGTTTCCTCGGCACCAGTCCCACAAAACGCACGCTAATAGGCCGGTCCCTGGCTCTGTCAATTCTAGGCTGGCCTGGAGACCAGCTTGGGCTGGGTGCCAGGCAATTGAACAGGCTGGAGCGGATTGACTGAGTCCCGGCCCCTTTTTTTGACTGGGTGCCGGCCTAATGGTGTTCCGGTGGAGTTGCTCTGATAGACTCTGAAACCTTTGATTCTGTCTCGGCCTAAATGCAATTACTTATCTTATTACTTGGATTATTCTATTTCTATTGGCATCAAAATTGAAGAAACATAAAGCTAATCCCTAAAATAAACACAAAATCCAGATAAAAACAATGGGTGGTTGTGGATCAGAAACCCTAGGGGTGCAGAACGTTACCCACTGTCGCCGAGAACGATGACCTTGAGCAACGTTCATCTGCGCAATGACATGGCGGACGAATTTAAACCGATATGAAACGGAAAAAAAGCGGAAAAATCAACTTTTTGGACAGTGCCAAGGCGATTGATTGGTTGATGTTTTTGAAATTTTCCTTTTCTTTTCTCTTTTCTCTTTCCAGGAACGGAAAGAATTAACGGGGGAGAGAGAGGAGAAAAATGGAACCCAAGAATTAACCCTAGATGGGCATTCCCATCATTTGAACACCCAATGGGCCGGCCTCATCAACAATTGAGGTAAGCCCAGCAAACACAGCCCAAAACAAACTAACCCAGCGGCCTTCGCCCTATTGGCAATCTTGTAAATAAACTGAAATGTCTTACAAAACACTGTTCATATGAATGGTGCAATTTCCCTTCCTTCTTTAGACTAAAGTAATTCGTGCCACATAAACAATTTTTACGGATATATTGACAGAGTTTGACAATAGAATGCAAGTAAATAGAAAATTAAGAATTTAAGTTTAAGAGGCTTAATAAAACACGCATTGAAAATGAATAGATTTATAACATCCGATCACAATTGGATCCCAATATTTATAACAACAACAGTGACGTACTAATTTGAACTTACCGTTCACCTAACTTTCTATAAAATAAAAACCAATTTTTCTGAACTTCCAAAAAGGTTCATGTTTAGACATTCCAAAATCACCTTAATCAAAGCTTATTGCAAGCTTTTGAGATAGACGCCTACCCCCCCGGCAGGAAGAGGATGAGCGGAGGAACAAAGGTGGTATGTGTAACAGGAGCCTCAGGTTACATCGCATCATGGTTGGTCAAGCTCTTATTACAAAGGGGTTACACCGTCAAAGCCACTGTTCGTGACCCAAGTCAGTATTTCTGTACTTGCTCTTATCTAATCTTCATGTATTCAAACAATTCCTTGAGTACTTTTCGTTTTTGACTTCTGGGTTTTGTGTACTGTTTTGTTTCCAAAAGAAAAAAGGAGCATCGAGTAGTCATATTCTTCTGATATATCTTCATCTGGATTTTGAAGTTCAAATTATGAGCCCCCGTGCATTGGGAGAAAAACAATCTGGAGTTCAAATTATGATTTTTTCTTCAAAATTTAATCCTAATTAATTACGAAATAACCTTTTCCAATTTAGTTTGCAATAAGGGCATGAACTAAGTGGGTGTTATGATGTTTTGGTGTGCCCCTTAACCAGCAATCAGCACAGTAAACTCTACTAGAAGCAGGCAAAACATTGCAGAAGTAGGGTCTCAATTTGTTCATTTGGCCTCACTCATAAATTTTGTTGTAGTAATATTATCGGTACAATAAGAACGTATTGATCTACTTCTGCGCAGCTAAGTTTCCCGTTTAACCCTCACTCTGGGTAGTCAGCATTCGCCACTTTGCCTAGTACACGTAAGTCCCAACACGTGTGTTGTATTCTTCGTTTCAACTCATTAGTCGTGTTTGTGTATTCCGCAGGTGATCCAAAGAAATCAGAACACTTGCTCTCACTAGATGGAGCAAAAGAAAGGCTTCATTTGTTCAGAGCAGATTTATTAGAAGAAGGATCTTTTGACACCGTAGTTGATGGATGTCAAGGCGTTTTTCATACAGCATCTCCTGTTCCGTTTTCAGTCACTGACCCGCAGGTTTATCCCTTCACTTCATTGTTCCAATATTCTACTATTCTAGTAATGGTGTGTCGGTTACAGGTCTTTTTTCACCAAACATGCATAACTTGTTAATCAACATCAACTACGTTGCTGAAAATTTTGAAAATAAGCACGGTCAAGTCTTTATCAATAAGAAAACAGAAAATAGTATCGCATCGGTTGTTTACGGATAAATATCCAGTTCAAGAGCAAACTTATAACAAGAGTACAGACAGAACAGAAATGACTAAGGCAGTTGCATGAAAACGTATAAATCTTGACCTTGTATCCATTTTCTCTCTACTGGAGCATGACACGAGCGCACAATGTTTCTGTGTGTGTTTAAAGAATCGATATATGTTCAATAGTTTAATGTAAAAAATGGTAATGTTACTTATTCTCCATGTTTCAGGCAGAACTAGTTGAGCCTGCAGTGAAGGGAACACTTAATGTTCTAAAATCATGCGTGAAATTTCCTACTGTCAAGAGAGTGGTTTTAACATCTTCAATGGCTTCAGTATTGGTGAATGGGAAACCTCTGACCTCTGATGTGGTTTTGGATGAAACATGGTATTCGGATCCACTTGTTTGTGAGAAGAACAAGGTACGAATGGAATACATATTATCTTTCCCCAAGTTTCACATTATATTTGTTGTTAATTCGTTCTATTTCCATGGCCAATGGAATCTTAATCTGATTTTATAAAGTGCGACCTTATCAGTTGTGTGGATGCAATTATAGAAGATATGAATGATGAAATTTATCCTTGCTCTTGTTTTCCACCGTTCTTTACTTGCTTGTGCATTGTCGGAGTTCTAGATGTCTCGCTGGTTGCCCGCTATATTTGCAGCTCATATTGGACCAAAGCCTGCACACAATCAAGCACAATCATCAGAATTGAACTATCTGTTGTGTGTTGTTTTTATTGCTCCAAAGAAAAAAGAAGAGTACAACATATGTAGGCTGTATAACTGTACAAGTAACCTTAACATAAAACAATGCTGTATATCTCCCTTTAATATGAACTACAAACTCAGTACGAACTATTTTATTTGTTCAGAGATGGTATGCGCTCTCAAAAACTTTAGCTGAGGAGGCTGCCTGCAAATACGCTAAAGAAAATGGAATTGACTTGGTTACAATGAATCCAGGGTTTGTGATAGGTCCACTCTTACAGCCAACACTTAATGTCTCCGTGGAGATGATTCAGAATCTCATAACCGGTACAGGTAAACTTCAGCAATTATCCTTTTGATCTTGCATGATTGAGGCACAGTATTAATGTATGATGAAAGCTCAAAATTAATTTCATGTGAGGTAGATATCGTGGGAGGTTTAGTCTTTAGATGGAGGCCTTCTCGTATTAAAGTTACCGTATTAGATGTGGCAGGCTTAAAGCATGAATGTTTATCTGAACTTACCAACTTGTTGCTTCCAGTAACAAATAAACTTTATGCAAATGATCAGAAATATACAACTGATATGGTAAACAGTAATTTTATGGGCTGTTAAATTGTACCAGCCTGTAGAATTACTCTCTGTTTAAGATCCGTGAGCATGCAGTCGATTTGCTTTTGTTTCTCTCTTGTGTAGTTACCAAAACACTGCCCCTTTCAAATTACCGGTCCGTTGATGTTAGGGATGTTGTCTCTGCTCATATTCTGGCATTTGAAGTTCCTTCAGCAAGTGGAAGATATTGTTTAGTTTCAAATGTTACACACGCTTCCGAGGTTCTGAAGATTATACAAGACCTTTATCCCACTTTGCACCTTCCTGAAAAGTAAGTTACTGGAAAATTACCGTGAGTAATTGATGCTATTTCTATTAATTAAGATTACTCATGAGTAGCCAAAACCAAATGGGAGTAGAATAACATTAGCTTTCATAACAATGTGCTTTTGACAGTGACACTGCACCAAACCATTCCTTTTTTTTTTCTTATTTGAAAATGTACATTTTGAAAAGGGAGATCAAATTTTACGCCGGGAGTTACCGAAGGTGGCATATTTCTAAGTTTTTGTTGTTGTCATTATTGGCAGATGTGAGATTGGCACGACTTCAGACCCGAAATATCCAGTATCAGCAGAGAAAGCAAAAGGTTTAGGAATTAATTTCCTTCCGTTGGAAGTAAGTCTTAGAGACACAATTGAAAGCCTGAAGGAGAAGGGCTTCCTCAAGATTTGAAATATGCAATTGAAACAGAAACTTGTTAATCTATTGCAATAAGATGCTGAAAAATAATATGTTTCCTGTTAATACTTTCTTAAGTTAATCTGCAGACAGAGTTGACTACGCAAATGCTCAGACATTGCTTTCACGTCGTTCTGTATAATTCAATAAAATTGTAGAATTGCATGGAAAAAAACTCAAATTTTAATCATTTGCAATAATACCGATGACTTGTTGATTCGCAGTGTTTGAGCAGGTGAAATAAGCAGATCCTTTCTTAATCAAAGTTTAATACGTAAAATAATAATTAACGTTTTCCCTTCATAATGTTTTTTTATTTGTTCAATATGCATAATAAACAATGACTATCATTGCACAAGAGAACCACAGAAGTCCTCCAGCTGACTTTCCACCTTAAGAAACCACCTACTCTACCATTACATAACTCAGTACCATTACATAACTTAGAAACCACCTCCTCTACCATTGTGCAATGACTATCATTGCACATGAGTACCATTACATAACTCAGAAGTAAGTATTACTTCTGGTTCCTTTCTTTCTCCTTTTCTCAACTCAGTAACATTTATTTGCAAATTCAGGGTTTTGTATTTTGTTTTTGCTTCAGTGAGAGAACTTTATAGGATCCAATTCAGAATCAAAATTCTTGATCTGGGCACTCAAATGTGGTTCTGAAATCTTGAAGGGATATAGGCCCATAATTATTGTTGTTTAGTTTTCATTCTTGGGTCTGGCCCTCATTGGACTAGTGTGTTGGGGCCCACATCCTCTTAACCGTCTTCCGACTTACACCAATATTGTCCTCAACTTTAGCATCTATGTTCATACTAGGTGGAATCTGCACTTTTATTTCAAAACACCTCACTGCCATTTAGGAGAACTGCCACCGATGGCCGGTCTTATAACAATTTCATTTTTAGTTTTGAACTTTTGTGAGGGTGAGAAATAAGAAACGTATAAAACGTAAATGAGGGAAGAATAAAGTATTGAGATGGAGGAGCAGATACAAAGAAGAAAGAATGAATGAAGACATTTCTTTTGCATTCCTCCCACCATCCTTACTGCACTCTTCTATTTCCGTCATTTCTCCCATGTATTTCTCCTCTACCTCCAACACAAAAATGATAACTAAAACCTAAAAAGAAAATGGTTAGCAAACGTGCGTTTAATATACCTCTTTATGAACTGTGACTTCTCCTACAGGAGACAATTGTATTTGACACCCAATAGCTAATATTTTGTACAGCTTAAAATTCAATGTATGTCCAGTGGGGTGGTTGTAATCCTAGTTCAACTCACCAGTTCTGTTTGTGTAATGCCACAGATGATCCAAAGAAAACAGGGCACTTGCTCTCACTTGATGGAGCAAAATAAAGGCTTCATTTGTTCAAGGCAGGTTTATTAGAAGAAGGAGCTTTCGACGCCGTAATTGATGGATGTGTTTGTGTTTTTCATACAGCATCGCCTGTACAACTTTCAGCCACTGACCCACAGGTTTGTCCTTTTCACTTCACGCTACGAATATTCTATCATGTGTTTCAAGACTTCCGATGTAAAAATCGAAATGATAAGTTCTTCCATATTTCAGGCAGAAATAATTGAGCCTGCAGTGAAGGGAACTCTGAATGTTCTAAAATCATGAGTGAAATTTCCCACTGTCAAGAGAGTGGTTTTAACATCTTCTATGTCTTCAGTATCGCATAGTAGAACACCGATAACTTCTGAGATGGTTTTGGATGAAACATGGCACTCAGATCCACTTGTTTGTGGGCAGAACAAGGTAGGTACGCTCCCAAATTTGATACATAAACAATGACTTCCAACCAGATAAAATAATAATCAACGTCTTCCTTTCATATTGTTTTTAATTTTTTTCAATATGCATATTAAACAATGATTGCCATTACACAACCGAACCACTTCACCTACGCCAGACCTCCAGCCCTTCACCTAACTTTCTACCTTAAGAAACCATCCACTCGACCATTACATAAGTAAAGTTGTTTAGCTAACTTTCCACCTTAAGTAACCACCAACTCTACCATTATATAACTGAAGTTGTAAGAGATAGACACAGAGAGAAATGAGTGGAGGAACGAAGATTGTGTGTGTAACAGGAGCCTCCTGCTACATAGGCTCGTGGCTTGTGAAGCTCTTGCTACAAAGAGGTTATACTGTCAGAGCTACAGTTCGCGACCCAAGTATTACTTCTAGTTCATAACCTTCTTCCGACTTACAACAATATTGTCCTTAACTTCAGCATCTAGGTGCATCCTAGGTGGCATCTGCACCATTTTATTTCAAAACACCTCACTGCAAGTTAGGGAGAACTACCACTTATGGCCCGTCTTATTACAATTTTGTTTTTAGTTTTTGACTTTTGTGTGTGTGACATATAGCGAAATGAGGGAAAAATAAAGTATTGAGATGGAGGGAGAAGATATAAAGAAGAATGAATGAAGACAAAATCTTCATGTGCCTTTCCTTGTATATTTCTTTTACATTCCTCCCATCATCCTTGCTCCACTCTTCTGTATCCCTCATTTCTCTCATGTATTTCTCCTCGACCTCCAACGCAAAAATGATAACTAAAACCTAAAAACAAAATGGTTAGCAAACGTGCGTTTAATATACCCCTTATGAACTTTCACTTCTCCGACATGAGACAATTGTATTTGACACCCAATAGCTAATATTTTTGACAGCTTAAAATTCAATGTATGTCCAGTGGGGTGGTTGTAATCCTAGTTCAACTCACCAGTTCTGTTTGTGCAATGCCACAGATGATCCAAAGAAAACAGAGCACTTGCTCTCACTTGATGGAGCAAAAGAAAGGCTTCATTTGTTCAAGGCAGGTTTATTAGAAGAAGGAGCTTTCGACCCCGTAATTGATGGATGTGTTGGTGTTTTTCATACAGCATCGCCTGTACAACTTTCAGCCACTGACCCACAGGTTTGTCCTTTTCACTTCACGCTTTGAATATTCTATCTTGTGTTTCAAGACTTACGATGTAAAATCGAAATGATAAGTTTTTCCATATTTCAGGCAGAAATAGTTGAGCCTGCGGTGAAGGGAACTCTGAATGTTCTAAAATCATGTGTGAAATTTCCCACTGTCAAGAGAGTGGTTTTAACATCTTCTATGTCTTCAGTATCGTTTAGTAGAACACCGATAACTTCTGATATGGTTTTGGATGAAACATGGTACTCAGATCCACTTGTTTGTGAGCAGAACCAGGTACGCTTGCATACTCCCGAGTTTCACCTTGTATTCATTGTTAGTTTGTTTGATTTCAATATCAGTAGCAACAAGATTTAATCTAGTTACTTACGTGTCTGGATGAAGTTCTGTAATAGAAAGAACAACATTCACTGGATGTGTATTCTGTTTCTAATACTCAAAAGACTGCCAATTTATTGATCTGATTTGGTGAACATAAGAACTTCCTTCATCATGTGCTCAGAGATGGTATCCGCTCTCCAAAATTTTAGCTGAGGAGGCTGCCTGGAAAGTTGCAAAAGCAAATGGGATCGACTTGGTGTCGATGAATCCAGGGATTGTGATTGGTCCGCTCTTACAGCCAACTCTTAATGGCTCCGTGGCAGCTGATTGCGAATATCATAAGTGGTACAATTCTGCAACTTAATTACTTCTTGGGTTCTTAGCCAAAAGATAACTTTTCACCCCCTTTGCGTTTAAAAATCCCTGTGATGCAAGCAATTGATTGTGTTTTGATTCTCTTTCGGGCTCAGGTATCCAAACACCATTTCTAAATTATACATTTGTAGACGTTAGAGATGTTGCCTCTGCCCATATTCAAGCATTCGAAGTTCCTTCAGCTAATGGCAGATATTGTTTAGTTGGCGAAGTAGCTGATGGCCCCGATACTCTACAGATTTTACGACAACTTTACCCCACTTTGTGCCTTCCTGAGTTTGGCAATCCTTCTGACTCAAAGTATCAAGTGTCCAGGGAGAAAGCGAAAAGTTTGGGAATTAATTTCCTTCCTCTCGAAGAAAGTCTTAGGGACACTATTGAAAGCCTCAAGGAGAAGGGCTTCCTCAATATCTAAAGTGTGCAACTAACATGCATGTCGGTCGAATATTTTGAAAACATGCTTGAAGGAAATCTTTGGCCATACTGTGGTTTGAATCCGTTGAATTTTGTTTCCTGGTAAAGTACTGTATTTGCAGTAAATAATATTTGTTCCGGTTACGACTTGAGACTCTCTTAAATTAGTCTGCAGAGAGCCTCAAGATGCACTGGACAAATGCTCAGAAGTTTGCTTTCATGTCTTTATATATGGCTCGACATTCCTGCATGTAAAGTTTTGGAATAACTATAAATAAAAAGTTCAAGCTGAAATAGTTTTACTCCACTAACAATATTTTGAATCAGTTAATCGTCCTTTACAATGATCTTTTCTAGAGCGTCGAACATAATTAGCATTGAAATATCATATATCTTTATTAGTTCATTTCAATTCTTTTGTTTTAAATTTTAGAAATGCATGGCAAAACTCAATTTTGAATCAATTAATGTGAAATAAAATGCTGGAAATTAGGCTCTATGCAACAAATACGATGAGGTGTTGATCTCGAAGTGTTTGTTCATAATAAACAAGGGTGCCGATCACATAACTGAAGTTTCAGCGAATTTCCACCATAAGAAACCATCAACTCTACCGTTTACATAACGGAGTTGTTAGAGATAGACATAGAGAAAAAATGAGTGGAGAAACAAAGGTTGTGTTTGCAACAGGAGACTCTGGCTACACAACGTCATGGCTTGTGAAGCCCTGACTACAAAGAGGTTATACTTTTTGTTTGGGTTAATATTTGAACACTGGGTTTGAATGAAGGAAAGCCCAAGGGTACCAATTAAAAGAAGACTTGCCCGAAACCCAACATCGAGCCCAAAGGCAAATCGAAGCCTTCTCAGCCAAATACAAGCCACATGCTTACCTTTGAAGTAACAAGTGATGAAGACTAACCTACTACCAGCCAAAAAGCACTTTCTAGTGGCATTCCAAGTAAAAAGCTAATGACTCACTACCCTCCAAGTGCTTTTGGGCAAAGACAAAATTACAACAATTGGGCTAATTTGCCTATAAAAGGGGGAAGAGGCTCCAGAGATAAGGACACTCAACCAATTAAACAAACAAATATACAAACTCTGCTCTCAAACCAGATTTGCATCTAAAAGTTGAACTCAGC